GGGGGGGTCGGGGGGGGGGCAAACGCCGAAATCTTGAACATATGAACCAACCGTATCGGATTTTAAGGAGCTGTAAGATACACAGCAGGCTAATAGCTCGGCACGTGGCTCACTTCTGTGAAGGAAACAGTCTATTAACTGTTAAAATCTATAAAAACACAGACGGATAATTGTACAAAAAGATCCTTAAACGTTTAGTAAATGATAGAAAAGGGATGATTTAAGGTTGGGAGCCACTGGAATCAATAATCCCTCTAATGACAGATAATCGATAATCCAAACTGATAACAGCTGCAGAGATAAAGGAAGCTCTGAAATTATAAAATAAAAAGAAACACTGATGGAACCGTGTAACAGAAGCGACGTCGACGGTGCTCGTGGGAAAGAGAGTAGACTGAGAGGATGTGAGTCACCGAGGAGAGAGTGATGTAACTGTTTACTGTCTGACTTCACCTTCACCTTCACCCCCCCGCTGCTTCTGTTCATAATGTTATAATCTGTGAATCTTTATCACATACAGGTAAAACACAAAGCAGAGGAACATTCATGGGTTCTTAAAATGCTCCATAAAAGGGTCGAATAACAAATATAATATAGATATAATAACCTTTTTGTTCCGTGTTTTATTTTTGCGAGGTCTGGTCTTTTAAATGGATCAATGATTTTGATAATCGATTCATCGTTTTGAGGCAGAAAAATGTCCAAATCTTCTTTATTTCAGCTCCTCAGGTGAGAATATGTGAACAGAACCGCAGATTCTGGAGCAGATCGACTGATAACAAATGTTGTAATTGTTAGTTATTTTATTTTAAATTTGAAATCCACCTTTTTGTTTCAGGAGCTCGATGAAATCCGCAAATCTGGGATGAAGAATTTCCGCAATATTCAAGTGGATGAGACAAATTTCTTGAGCTGGCAAGGACTCATCGTTCCTGTGAGTATTGATCGGCGCCGGCAGAACTTGTGTTTGAACGACTGAAAAGCTTTAACGACTCTACAAACTCTCGCCCTCTCTCAGGATTGTCCTCCGTACGACAAAGGAGCGTTTCGCATCGAGCTCATCTTCCCCGCCGAGTATCCCTTCAAGCCCCCCAAGATCACCTTCAAGACAAAAATCTACCACCCCAACGTGGACGAGAAAGGCCAGGTGTGTCTGCCCATCATCAGCGTCGAGAACTGGAAGCCCGCCACAAAGACTGACCAAGGTGAGGCGAGGGGAAATCCTTCACAATAAAAGTCTGCGGTTATTTAAACACGTTTCTTTTACGAAGCAGCAAAAGGAAGGAAGCGTTTGGGCTTTAATCAGCAGTGACACGACCCGACAGCTCAAAGCGAACGTGAAACGACGGAGAAAGAGAAACTTCAAACCGCAGAGAGTCATTCAGAAACTGGAAGTACCGAGAGCTTCGACGTCCGTCCGCTCTGCTCGAGGGGGAGAAGGTCGATCGTCACGGGTCGACTCGGCACGTTAAAAGTGGAAGTGGAAAAAAGCCTCACGCATCTTAAAAAGTCTAAAAAAAAGTCTACAGCTGATTAAAATCTGCAGACAGCTGTTATTGCAAACATTCACACCCGACAGGCAGAAACCAAAAGCTCACTGTTTAAAACATTTAGTAAGAAGTTCTAAACTGCATACGAGCTGTGTGAGAACAGGAAGGAACGTTACACTGCCGTTCATCACTCAGAGTCCGAGTCAGTACACCGTCACGCAGACAGAGGAACGTTTAAAGTCATGATAATGTGGAGGTTTGTAGGTCGGGGCGTCTCTGAAGAGCTGCAGCACGTCATTATAACGCTCTTCTGTCACATTTAACCCTTTTCTGTGGTTGTATGTTTGAAACTCGCTCGTGTTTTAATGATTTAATGCGAGAAAAGTGTCCTCGCTGCTAAATATGAAGACACGACTCTTAAATCTCACGTTTCCCTCTCTTCCCTCTCTCCTGCAGTGATCCAGAGTCTCATTAATCTGGTGAGCTCCCCCCAGCCGGAGCATCCGCTGAGGGCCGACCTGGCGGAGGAGTACAGTAAAGACCGCGCGAAATTCATGAAGAACGCCGAGGAGTTTACAAAGAAACACAGTGAGAAGCGACCCGTCGACTGACGACACAACACTGACGTTCCCCGGCTGCCGGCCTCCTTTCTGTTTCCTGTTTAAAAAGAGCCCACCCTGACTCTCTGTTCTTATCCCCCAACTACACAGAGATGCCCTGTTCTCGCAAAACCTGCATTGTTTTAGCACTCTCCAACCACTCCTTCATAGAGGCTTGTGTTTCTGTTTCACTTTGCCAAAAACAAACAAAAAAACGTAGGACTTTTTGGTGAATAGGCAGGCTCTGGTCGCTAGGTGTCACCTTCTTTTTGGTTGTTTTGACTTCTTTCTACTGATTTCTTTTTAGAAAAAATGAGAAAATTGTCGGAGGTGGCATCCTGGAAAGTAAAATATCAGAAAAATTAAAAAAAAATAAAATAAAAAAGTGCTGTTCTGCTTACTTAAATGTTGAATGTTTTTCTCAGATTAATCATTAGCTTACGCAGACCTGTTTACAGATTTTTAAGCTTCGTTTTCAAAAAAAAAGTTAACATCTGCAGCATCCGATGCTGCTGTTTATATCTGTTTTCTTCACCCCCCCCCTCCCCTCCCACCCTTAAGATACACTGTACTTTGTGAAATCACCTGTTGCAGTACATAAAAATTAAAGTTGATTACTGATGCAGAAATCCACATGTAAACACAGAAGTTCATGAAAAATGCAACGACGTTCACGTGTCCTTTTGGAAATGTTTTTGTATTTTGAGATGTTTTGGGGGGGGGAAGGTCTCTTATAATTAAAATTCTTTCACCTCCGTTGGCCTCCCAGGAAAGTGCGTAGTGTCAGTGAGCATTATATCCACAGTAGTTCCACAGGCACTTCTTTTTCTCTTAAACCTTGTAAATGTATCTCCTCTTATCAAGTTCAAGCTCCATTAACACACACATGTTCAGGAATAAGGAAATAAATCAAGCGTGGCTTTAAAATTACGTCCCGAGTCCGACGCCGACTATACTTTCATTCTGAGAACGAGAAATACGAAGCACTGATTGGTTCCAGCACTGCAGTTATAAAGCCGCTCCAACTGGCTTCTCTCCATCAATAATCCCCATCAGCCAGTGAGTATATTGTGTTATAGATGGTAGCACACCAGCAGACTCTACGCCGTTCACATAGAAGGCAATACGTCCAACTGCAGGTGGAGGACAGAAGGGTGTTAATGAATAAAGATGTGCGATGGATGCTTAATCAAACCTGTATTGT